ACCGTACCCCGGTTTTTTAAAAGGTTGCGGTGTGGCGAGCCTTCTTCCTTTTTGGTCCGGGTTTTCGGGGGTTTTAAATTTTCACCTTTTTAGAAAAAATCTTTCCCGCCCTCGGAAGGCGGATTTAAGGGACGCCTTTTTCCTCAGGGCCCACCGGGGGGGGGGGGGGGGGGGGGCACACGCGCTTGATTCTCACTTAGCCTGGGCAAGGTGCGCAGCGTTCCATTCTACCAGACGATTTCGCCGCACGTCGAGGTAAGGTAAGGTAAGGTAGATTTCTCCACACACACAAAGTGGTGGGGCAAGGGGGGGCGACCCTCGCATCTCCACGCCCGGACACGGGCAGGAGCCCCACGGCATTCAAAGTGCAAGCACTGGCCGGTCCGCGGTGCACGTGGGTGAGGGTGAGCACGCCCACGCGTCGACCGTGGGCGACACACGGATTTGCTTACCACGAGGGAAGCTTTTAAGTTTTATCCACTGTCGGTCTTGCGAGCCTTCATCGGCCACTTTGAGAAATTTGCCGCTGCCCACCTCCAATGGACCACCTCGAGGCGGAGCCACCTCAAGAGCTCCACTCCCACATATGGACCAGAACCCGCAGTATACCGCTACGTGGCTTTACTCTTCTCGCCGCGCCTTGACAGCCGAAGCCGCGTCCTCCCCCCACCTGCTCAGCGCAAGCTCACGCTCATGCTGCAAGCTTGGACGAGGCCGCTGCTCTATCCCGAGGAGGTGCTGCTGCCAACGTGGAGTCTGCAGCGTGCGGAGTGCGAGCCGCTGCGCCCACGCCCATGGGACGCACAGGACTGGCAGCTTTGCTGGCGCTCGAGAGATGAAATCTACTTAGCTCAATCTACTTAGCAGGGACGCAGCACTCGCCGCGCCGGCCACGGACGGCCGAGGCGCGCTCAGAAGTGGTGGACAGGGGGTCCCTGGCTACCGATAGCTGAAGGGGTCGGAGTCGGCGCGCTGGCACACCCTGGAAAGGGCGGCAGTGATGGCGGGCAGGGCGAGGCCGCCGAGGGCGAGGGCGAAGGCCTCCCACCTGCGGCAATCCACAGTCATCGAGGATCTTCACTGGACTCATCGAGGGTGGGGGGTCGGGAGTGGTTTGGCGGCACCGAATCAGTCCTCGAAGTAGCAGCAGCGATGGCACCCCGATGATGCCGGTCGCAAAAAAGGCGAAGCCAAACTCCGCCCAGTGACGGCCCTTTGGCGTGTCTGAGAACAGGCTGTCGCCGGCACACGCGCGCAGCAGCAGCAGGGGAATGGCCGCAAGGACAAGCGGGACGAGGAGCAGGAGGAGCAGCCACTCGGTTCCCGACTCGACTGGGAAGGCGAGGCACGCGATGAGCTCCATGAAGATCGCGGCCGAAACGACGGCAGCGGTGCCGAGAATGGTGAGAAAGGACATGTGGCAGTGGAATTCGGTCGTCGAGCGCGCTGCAGTAGGCGAGCAGCTCGCCCTCAAAGAAAGAAAGAAAGGAAAGGACACGCAGAGATGGGAGGACGGCACGCCGCCACCACACAGGGATTTTAAGGAGAGGGGTGTGATGCGCTAGCCGTCGCCCACCCTTGGGCGTCCGCCTCTTCCTATCTCTCTTCGCAGTCTCTCGTAGATTCTCGCTGCGACCTTCATGCCACCTCGCGGTCGCCCCCTTCTCGTCGTTCTTTCCCTTGTCTCTTCTTCTTCTGTCGCGTCGCTCTCCTCTGCTTCGTTCTGCGGCGCCGCCGCCTCCTGCCGGTCCCTTGCTCTCGCGGCTTCTTGCGCCTTTCGGCGCAGCTCCGCCCTCCTTGCTGCATATCCTGGCCCCTCGAGTCTATCGAGCTCTCCTCGAGCAAGGACGAGTCTTCTGACGCCCACTGCAGCAGCTCGCCCTCGCGCCGCCGGGAAACGAAGTTCGCTTTCTTTTTCAGACAAGCCCGTTTGTGTCTTGTGAGCCTGTTTGTGTCTGTGTGTCGCTCGTGCGTGCCGTCATCATCTGTCCAGCGTCCACCCATAACGCGCGTTGGTGTCCAGTCCGAGCCTGGCTGTTCTTCACCTTCCTACATACGCCCGTCGCGCATCGCGACGGCACCGCACCGCGGCGGCACCGCGCGTACGCGGCGTAACCCGTAAGCTGAAAGCTCTCGGTCTCGGCCTCTCGCATCTGAGATGTGAGAAGTGCCCAGTGGGTTCTAAATTGGTATGTACCAGTGTATGACATATCGGGTTGGCACCACACACGGCGCGCCTCACGCAAATGAAAACCCGCCCGCAGAACGTTCCGGCTTCCACCGCGGGGCGCGAATCCCTCAACCCTCCGGGCTCGCAGCCTCTCGCACACGCACTGCTGTGTGTGGCCAACCTACCGGGCTACCGCCAAACGGACGGTGGCGCGATACTGAGCGGACATTACTCTACTTCTCGCGCACTCTCCTCTGTCGGGATCAGGCACGCGCTCGATGGCCCGCGAGTACAAGCAAAGCTTCAAGTCGCGCGTCGGTTCACGGTTGCAGCTGGAGACCTGCACCTGGTGCAAGTCACTCCACCAGCCAAGACTCGAGGGTGAAGCTCTCCGTGTCGATCTCGAGCGCCGCGCTGCCCGCAAACGCTCTCCGCGTCGACCTCGAGGACGCGCTACTGCCCGCGGCGGAAGCGCCGCTCGCCGTCAGCGGGCAGGCAGAGCAGACGGTGGACGCCTAATCATCACCACATAATATCATAGTACATGGAAATGACAATGAGTAATGACGGTGGGGGCAGACGGAGGATGACGCCTCGTCGCTGAGGCGGCTCTCGACGCTGTCGCTCCGATGCACACCCACGCCCGACGTGTTGTCGTACGGCGAGATCTCGATGAGCGCGTGATCGTCCGCCCCGCCCCGCCTCCGTCCGCCGGAGCGGTGCTCGGGGCGGAGAGCCGCACCGGCGCCGGCGGCGCGCGGCGTCTCGTCGCCGCCGCCGTCTTCGCCAAAGGAATCGAACGAGCCGCGGTCCTGCAGCTGTTCCTGCAGCTGGTGCTGCCCCTGAGCGATGCGGAGAGGCTTTGGCCACCCGCCCAAGCCGCCGCTGCGCAGAGCGCTTTCGAAGGCAGTGTCGAAGAGTTGCTTGCTGCTGCCGGATCCGGTGCCACTGCCGGCGAGCCGGTGAGCCCTGCGTGGCGGGGTCGCCCGGCGGGGTCGCCCGTCGGAGCGGGCGGCGGCGCGTCCAATCATCGTCTGCCTCTCGATCGAGCGAGGGCGGCGGCAGTAGCGGAGGCAGCAGGCGAAGAGCGCCAAGGCCATGAGCGCGAGGAAGGCGGCAGGTGTCGCCGGGTGCATTCCGTCGCCCGCGACGCCCGTGCTGGTGGAGCTGGTCAGGACGTCGATGACCTCGTCCACCGCGTCGATCCCGTGGTACACCAGAAGTGGCGGGGGCGAGGGCGGCGACGATGGTGGCGGCGAGGGCGGCAGCGGAGAGGGCGGGGAAGACGGCGGCGGAGAGGGCGGCGGCGGCATAGAGGGCGGCGGTGGCGGCGGCATCGATGGCGGCCGCGACGGTGGTGGCGGCGGCAAAGGTGGCGGCGGCAGAGGCGGCGGTGGAGGCGAGAGCGGCGGCGGCGGAGACGGCGGTGGCGTTGGCGGTGGCGGCAAAGGCGGAGGCGGCAGCGCCGGTGGCGGTGGAGGAGAGAGTGGCGGTGGCGGTGGCGGTGCATCGGGCGGCGAGGGCGGAGGCAGTGAAGGCGGTGCAGATGGAGGCTGGGCGGTACAGCATCCGGTGCACGCGCCCGGGCACATTTTATCGACGTCCCCGCAGTAGAGAAGACCGACGGTGTTCAGCTCACCGCACGTCGCCTGAACCGTACAGGTTGTGCTGCACGCGTTTGTTGCAGGCGAACTCATTGTCGAGAGCTTGTCTGATATTGTCGAGGTGAACGCCCCCCCCGGCCTTTCGACAAGCGCCGTGCCTTTCGAAAGAAGAATTTGAGGTGACCCGCGAAAGAATTCGCGTATGCGTGGGCGACGGCTGCCCCCACCATAGAGTAGTCTCACACGACTCCCACTCCGGCGCCCACCCCACACCCCACCCCGACCCGAGCAACCCCGCCCCACCCTTCAGCCGGGCTCCAGAGTGTCGAACTGACGTCCCCCCCCACCCCCCCCCACCCCACCTTCGAACGCACGGGGGTGCCGGCCCGGAGCGGCCCCGTCCGCGAGCGTCGTCCTCGTGCGTACGACGGAAACGGTCTCGACATATTACCACATTATTACGAACCTCTCGGATGTGTATGTGCGGCCCCCCACGTGCACGAGGCTTTTGCGAGAGTTGACGGCGTCGCCGTCGGCGGGGGCCGGGGCCTTAGTCTGAGGGTTTAGGTTTCTGGATGGAGCCTCGGGTGCTTTTACGCTTTTGATCGAGGGTCGACACTTTGGTCGTCTCGGCTTTTGCATTTCTCAAATGCACTGCAGGCTTCGCCGGTGCGCTTGTGAATGTTGAATGTCTCACGAGGAGGTAGCGTTGTCGCCAGAGAGTCGTAGCAATTTCTCATGAATTCACCGTCGCAGCCGCGGGCGTGCGGGCGCTGCTGAGCACGAGGCTGAGCCCGGAGGTTTTTGCGGCGGCGGCGATGCGAAAAGGTCCAAAAGGATCTGGTGGCGATGAAGTTTTGGTGCATGGTGGAGCTCAAGGAGGAGCTGGGCTTAGGGTACCCCTAGGCGGTTCTGAGGAGGCGCAAGTACTGAACGCGATAGTTAAACTAAGTTAAAAATCGGGCCGATACGAGGATGGGTACATCGTGTATAGCTATAGGAGTATACCGCCTGCAGCTGGGGTTGCATTTTAAGAAATGAGGAGTTTTGGGGGCTTAAATTGCCATTTAAGAGATTGCAGCATGCAGGGTTGCAGCGGCACGGGGGTCCCTCTTTTAGTGGAGTGGGAGGTGGGGGTTGGGTTTATGCTTTATGGGCGGGGTAGTAGGGTTAGGGTTAGGGTGTTGGGGTTAGGGTTAGGGTTAGGGTTAGTCTTGTTGTGTCTGTACCAAGTGTTGCAGAGTTCTGCGCTGGGATCTGGCCCGAGCGCCGACGAGTAAGACTCAGCCCCCCGCACGCTGACCCCAAGGCCAAATGCCGCCTCAGAGCGCCAGAGCCACCTCTATCCTCTTTTTGCTCTTAACACGCGTGGTAAGCCCAAAGCCGTGTGTGGGGAGGTGAACGCGTCCTGTGTTGAGTGGTGGGTTGGAGTGGTGGGATGTCGTGTGTCGGTGTGTGTTGGGTGTTCGCCGTCTGTAGCTCTGTACGGTTATGCTCTCTATCATGTGGCAACACACGAGACTTAACACACGCGTTGGTTTGACAATCACAAAATCTACCTCAAAATTTGCGGCCGCCCCTCGCGCGCCCTCGAGTGTCGAAAATTGCTCAATTGCTGATCTTTTTGTTTTTGTGCTTTTTGCGGTCTGACTCGGCGTCGGGCCCCGATCGCGATCGCGGAAACGGCCCCCCCCCTGTATACTAGTACTTTGCCTCTTTGGCCAACCGCCGGTGCGCGGGGGGGCGGAGAGAGAGGGCAGACGACGTGTGTGTGCGAGGCCCGACGCACGCGAGGCGCCAGGTCGACGTCCATATGTCTCTACGGCTTTAGCTCTACGCAGGTGCGCGGAGCCAGAGAGAGCCGCTGCAGAGGTATGTGTTTCAACGAGACACACAGAGGCCGCGAGCGACACCGTCACATGCGCATGCTCGTTCAGCTCAGGGAGCAGACAACGATGCAGAGCCCAGCTCAAACGCCCCCCCTGCCCTTCCCCTGCTCCCCGGTTTGGCGCGCGCGCATCGGGGTCTGCCGGTGCTGCTCCGGGTCGGGCAGCCGTCGGCCGCTCACCAAGTACTCGATCGCCCAGCCGAGCCGCCCTCGGACCGTCTTTGCGCGCCCAAAGTCGATGACAAAGAGCCGCGCGTGTGCCGCGCCCGGCCCCTTGCGGATCGCAGTGAGGATGCGCGCCTTGGCCTCCTGGGCGGCGGCCACCTCGGCGGCGGAGGAGTCTGCGGTGGGAGGCTCGTAGTGGTTGACATCCAGCACGTGAAACATCAGGTTCATCTCGTGCCCGTCTCGGTGCGCGATGTTGAGCGACCGCAGCACCGCCAAGAGGCGCCGCGCCTAAGCGCGGGGAGGGCGCAACGAGGGACGGGTCGGAAGCAGGGCCGCTCACACATTCCCAGCACACGTTGTCGTCAGCACGGAGAAATCGTGTTGGGAGGAGGCGGGGGGGAAGGGGTCGGAGAGGGGGCGGGGGCTCGCCTCCGCCCGCCACGTGCAGACGATCGGCTGCTTGCTGAGGGACGGGTGGATGAGCCACCCGCCGCGCGCCTTTGCAGACGCGAGCTCCCTCGTCTCCCAGCAGAGCCAGCGGAAGAAGGAGGGCGAGGTGAGCCTCGCCATCCCCACGACCCCGTTCTTGCCCAGCGGCCCGCCCAGCCACCGCGAAAAGTAGACGCACGGCGCCACGCCCGCCCCGGCCGCCGCCCGCTGCAGCGCCACCTCCCTCTCAAAGGCTGCTTGCGAGCTCCAGTGACCGTGCTTGATCGCCACCGAGGGGCCGGCGCCGCCCTTCTCGGCGTCCACCCCGCCGGCCCAGCTCCCGCTGTGGTGCAGCTTGACGCCCGGCGCGAGGGCGTGCACGGTCGCAAAGGCGCCGCGCCCCAGCTCCTCGAGCGGCATCCGCGCTCGCGCCTCGCTGTCCTGCAGCACGCGGACGAGCCCGCCGACCGTCGCGCCCGACCGCGAAACGTCCATCGGATCGGCGATGCGAACCGGCCTCGAGTCGCGCCAGCCGAGCACCTCGAGCCGCTCCGCGTCCGTGAGCGCCTTGTCCAACTTCTTGACGCCCTTGCGCACCGCCGTCGCGTTGAGCTCTGCAAACTCGCGGAGGGCCTGCGCGCCGGGCGAGGACTCGAGCGGAAGGACGCCCCCCCCGACCCAGTCGAGGTTTGCCCGCCGGTGTGAGAGCTCCTGGTTGACGCGCGAGACCTCGGCCACGATGACGCCATGCATCTCCCGCAGTGCGGCCTGCCGCGCCGCGGCGTCCTCCTCGAGGCGGAGCCGCTTGATACGCTTCTTCAGGCCTTTGTAGTCGAAGGCGCCTCGAGCGTTGGCGTCACTCGCGGCGAGCGCCTTGAGCGTGGCCCCGAACTTCATCGTAGAGCTCTTTGGGGCTGAACCGCACGACTAGGCCACGACCAGGCGCTCGGTCGGCGATGACCCACCTGCCACACTCACGCCGAATCCCAGCCCTGGAGTGTTGGGAAGATCCGCACGACCAGGCCGGCGATGACCCCACCCGGGTTCCTGCTCCAAGCCCCAGAGAGAGGGCCGCGCAATAGGTAGGTAGGTGGTGGTGGTAGGGGGTGGTGGTGGTGGGGTGGGGGGGGGGGGGGGGGGAACCGCTTCGCTCGCGGGCTCGCGGCGGGACTGTCGAGGGAAGAGAGTGCCGTTTTGGAGCCGTCCAACGCCTCGAGAGCCCAGTAGGCCATGCTCTGGCGGGCTCGCGAGCGGCGCCGCACCGCGGTACAAGCCCGGCGCGGCGGGCGCTGGGAGCCTATTCACAGAGGGCTCAACGGGTATTTTTCGCTTCTCGCTGCGTGGCCTGGGAATAGGTAGGTAGGTGGGGCACGGAGCCTGGCGGTCGGCGCCCACAATAGGTAGGTAGGTAGGGCGTTTTGGCGCGACTCAGTGTCAACAGACCCCCTATCCGGAACCCTGCGAGCAAACCCTTTTACCCCCTGGCGCTTACCGCGACAGAGATCAAAAGGGGGCGGGAGGACAGTTGCGTGGACGAGATCGAGAACGCGCGTGCGCAATCAAGTGGACGCGCGATCTGAAACGTCGATTTTTGGGCTCTGAGCCGAGTCTGAGGCTCGTTTGGGCCCAAAATCAGCCTAGTTTTAGGCCAAATCGGCAAAATGCCGGGAATTTTGCGGAGAACCCGTGCATACCTGGACCCTGCGACCGCCTTGAGCACTTGAGCACTGGATAGGGTCGATTCCGCATGGTACGGGACCCCTCGATCGTCTCGCCCTCCCTCACTGGTGTGTTCATTGGGGGGGTCATATAGCAAACACGGTACAGGATCGAGGTGCACGCTGCCAAAGCAGTGTCGTCCCCCCTCTCCCCGACGGCGATGGCGGTGTGACCGACCGCCTGGGTATTTTGTCGATTTCCTCAATTTTGCCTCAGATTTTGCCCCAGACCAGCTCTCAGACTCAGGGAAACTCGCGAGTTTCCAGAATGGAGCACCAAACACCCCTCTGTTTCCCTGGAAATTTCCGGAAACGCAAAGTGCCTGGGGACCACCGTTTTGCCAGAAAACCTCAGACAGCCCAACACGTGCCCCGCTGGCAAACCAGAGCGAGGGTGGATAGAGATAGTCAGGCGACCGCTCGTCCTGCCCCTCCCCTCAGCAGAGCGGGCAAGAATGCTACGTGACGACGCTACTGGGAATGTTTGGGAACCTAGAGACAAAACTTGAGGCCACCGGGAGGCGGCCAGGGCTCATAGACTCGGTCGAGAGACCCCAGATTGGCACCTGTGCCTTTCTGGACAGGGTGGCCCGCCACAACGACCCCTGGAATTGCGACTCGCCGCTTTCCTCCCGCTGTGATTTGTGTGAGCTCTGTGCCTTGATGCTAACAACGAACCTAAAACTTGAGGGCCATTCGGACGGAGCGTTTAGAGCATGACCATAGTAGATAGTCCCAGCAGCTATGCTCAAAAAAAGAAAGATAAGTCTGGAACATGGGCGAGACCATCCACGGACCACGCGCGCGCGCCGCTTTGGGTCGACGCCTAAAGCCGTAGGAGGTGGAGGAGAGGGGGGTGCGTGGTCGTGGACATGCACACATGGTGCAGCACATGCACACACCATGCACATTGTGCATGCACACATGGAGCAACCGAGAATGAGAGGACACAGTGTGATCAGTGGGGTGCCCTGCCCCTGGTGGCTGGTGGCACCAGGCCTGGTGGGTGTGTCATCTTATGGTTTTGTATCAAAAGAATCCTCGCCTTGGGGTCACGATCTCACGCGGTCGCCACCACGCGCACGGGTTTTTTCAACCATCCCCTCCCCTCCCCGCCGCGCCCTCCGACGCCTCCCCGCAGCCATCCTCCAGCCCAGTGCCGCCGACGAGGGCCGCAAAGCTGCCCTCCGCGGCGGTGAGGGCACCCTTCCACGGCTCGCCCGCGTGCAGCACCCTCAGCCGCTCCGCCGCCCGCTCGGACAGCTCGTGCAGCCTCGCGCTCAGACGTGCCTAAAGAATTCCAGTGTTGAACTGTGAACAGCCCCGGTGAGCGCACAGAGCATCAAAGCAGGGCCTCTCTCCCATCATCTGGCCCCATCTCGGCGAATCTCGGGCGCGCCTCAAAGAAGGCCCTCTCACAAAACTCGCCGTAGTCGATGGTCCCGCTGCCGTCTCTGTCGGCGGCGGAGAGGACCTCCGCAACCTGCTCCTCGCTCGGCTCCTCGCCCAGGACCCGCCGCAGCAGCTGCCCCACCTCCGCCGCGTCGATCTCTCCGGAGCCGTCTGTGTCGATGGCGCGGAACTGGCGATGCAAATCGAAGAAGTCCGTCTCCTGCCAGATCGGGGAAATCTCGACCACCGCCCCGAGCGGGAGCCATCGCTCGAGCGCGTCCTCGCCGAGAAAAGTGACCTGATCGCCGCCCTCGCAGTGACGCGCCATCACCAGCGCGTCAAGGATGCCGCGGCGGTGGTCGCCGGGTGCGCCGCCAATCGCAGCAACAAACCCATCGTTCCGAGCCTGTGGCGCCCGCAGGCCGACCGTCCACCCTCCCGGCTGCAGTTTGGTGCCAAGCAGCTCGAGACGCACGCAGCAAGCGCCCACGTTGCGGATGACATCCGGGCTGCGGCCGGCGACGCGTGCTCTCATGAGCATATCGGAGCCGGCGAGCGCGATCTCACGCGCGCGCTGCGCGGTTGCAACGCTCCATCGGATGCCACGGCTTGACCGGGACCACAGCAGGCTCATAGGTCGTGGCGCTCCGCGCTGCTAGCAGCTCTGAAAGCGGCTGCGGCAATAGCCGTGTCAATCGCGGTGTCTCTCTCGAGTCGGGCAGCGGGGGCAGGACGGCCGCCGGCACACAGTACCTCCTGTATCGGAGTTTTGCGCTATTAAAGAGGTGTGAACGTGAACAGAGTCATACCAGCACCGTGGCTCGTTACGGCACGCATGGGGGGCCTCCCGGACGTATGACCCTAGCCCAATAAGTCCCACAGAGCACATTTCGATTTTTGACAGAATTAAATGCACTGCCCCCGCACGGTACTAACTATCGTAGTTTTGTGCCGGGTGCCCTTCACGGCACCACACCGCCGCAAGACAGCCCGAAATTAGCCTAGCAGCGAGTGGGCATCGCCTGCCGGTCGGCTGGGCACGAGCCAAGCACTTGGGCGGCCGTCAACCGAGTCCGAGCGGCGCCTGAGGTGGGTGCCACGGCGTCTGCACGAAGGCGTGGCAGGGTGAGGATCCAGGAGTGGTGAACGCCTCCCCGTCGGGCGCGCGGCGCGCCGGATGGTCCGCCGAGGCCGCAGCCGCCCCGGCGGCGGCGATGGGGGCGGCGGGGCCGACCCGGCCGGCGTTTGTCGGCTCCACCTACAGAAGAGCAGTCTCTGTGGGTCGACGATACTAACTCGGTAGTAACGCGGAGCGGTGCTGTGCGGCGCCGAGTTGTGCGCGAGGCGACCTCCTGAGGCTACCTGAGCTGGCAATGGATGCCACCAGGACGCACGGCTAGCAGGAGCCAGTCAGGCATGCCCTGCTGTGGAGCAGAGCTGGCTGGCGCACCGGCGATACTAACTCAGCGCGCCGCGAGAGGCGAATCTGGGCGACTTTGGAGGCGCAGTTCTCGAGCTTGCCGTCGACGATTGATGTCGGGTAAATTGTCACTGCCGTCCGGGCAGGTCTTCTCTCAACAGGCCGAGCGCCGTGGCCTGGCTCGGCTCGCCGCGGACGGCACGAATTTATGGCGCACAAAACTCCCGAGACCTCGATACTAACAAAACTCCGATACAGGAGGTAGAAACGAAAAAAAAAGATAAGGGCAAGGCCTCAGCGGAGCTGGGAAGAGGACCGCCGCAAGCGGCGTGGCGTGGAGCGGTTGTGCATCCCTCCGGGGGCCCCTCTGCGCCGGGGAGGCGTTGTTGGAGGCTAGGACGCAAGCGTCCGTCGCCCTTTTCAAACTCGGGGCCCACTCCGCTACGCTCCGACCCGAATTTGGAGGGCCTAAAAGTTTAAGGTGTTGCTGCGCAAAAGGGGTCGGACACCGGGCGCAGCTCATGCTAAGAGCTAGAAGAGGAGATAGAGAGAACAACCACCCTGTCCCGTTATTGCGTACACCAACACCACAAAACGCTCTCTCTCTCCTGTCCTCACTCAGGGGGGTCACAACTACCAAGTCCCTCGACTAGCTGCCACAGGGCGCAGCTGCCACAGGGCGCAGCTGGAGACGCTCCCCCTCAATCGGCATCCACCCCCACCCGCTCCAGCCCCACTTCTGCTGCCGAGAGAGCTGAATCGAAGCAAGCGAGCCATTGCATCTTGGCGTGCTCCTGGAGCGCGGCTTTCTGCGCCACGAGCACGGCGGAGTCGGCGTCGTAGCGCGCATCGTTCCCGCTCATCGCCCATTCCTCCCACGTGACGTGTCGGCCGCGATTCGATGTCGCCACCTTCATCGCCAACGATGACTCCCTCGACTGCAGGGGGGCTCCGGCGCGGGGAGGGACTCCGCCTGCTGCGCTGGCCGACTGCGCCCTCCTCCTCCATGGGATCGATCCGATTCCGCAGCGGCGGTGCTGCGCGGGAGGCGGCCGCGGGCACGCTGGGCTCGATCAGCGGCTTTCCCCTCAGGTAGCGCGAAGAGCACGGATTTGGGGGGGGGGGGATTTTTAGCAATACCAGCTTCAACTTTACGAATGTCTTGGCACCAGCTGAATGAAGGCTTGCGTCCCACATCGTCGGATTCGTGCACGGTATTCGGATTTTGGCTATTTGCTCGTGTGGGGGCATATCGCAGATTTGTCAATGGTACCGCGTCTGCGACGCGGGCGCCTTGCGGGCAGAGCCCTTAGCCACCCTTCATATCTTGCGCGGTCAAAAGTCGACGGCGGTCTCCGGGACCGGCACCGGGCGCGGCGCGCTGCGGGGCGCGGAGGTCGGTGCGCTTCGCCTTTCGGTTAGCGGCTCCCCGGCCGGACCCCGCGGCGCCCCGGGCGCGTGCGGACCCCTGGCCCTGCCGCCTGCGGTTGCTGACGACCGCCGCACTCTCGTGAAGTGCTCCAAGTCGCGCTTTTTCTGTCTTTTCTTTTCTATGGGATCTGCAGCACGCGGGCGCCGTGCGTCGTCTTCAGATTGCAGCGAAGAGCTGCAGGTGCTTCCCCTCGGCCTCGAAGGCGCGCAGCTCCTCCTCGGTGCAGCCCACCACGGCCGAGCAGAAGGAGGGCGTGTCCTTGAGCAGCAG